ATTAGGGAATGGAAACACCACAGGGCTTTTGGCTGCTTGAATCATATAAGATAATCACAACAGCACACCCACACCGCAAGAACAAACAGACCCAGACATGTGCAAAAACAAAGTGTGTGTAAGGACATGAAGGAAGAAGGACTCTATTTCCCCTCTTTGTAAAGTCTTATACAGAGGGCAGGTGAAGAAAACAGCGACAAAAAAAAAGAAAAAAAGAAAAAAAAGTTGTGTGTGGCAAAAAGGACGGCGGTGGGCGGGGGTGGGTGTTAAATGGCAAGAGTGGGAAAGGGATGAATGAAGAGAAGAGAGGAGGCAAAGAGCGGCTCAAAGCAGAGACGGAGTGAGGATCAGTTGGGAGAAAATGAAACCATTTGAGGTAAAGATAGATGGTCGCAAGGAAGGAGAGAAATGGAGTGTGAGATGGAAGAAAAGAGATGGATGCAGAGGGAGAGAGCGTGGGAGGAAGAAGAGGAGGAGGAGGAGAAGGAGGAGGAGGACGCTAGATTAGATGAAGGAAGGAGATGTGGGGAAAGAGTGTAGTGAAGTGTAGTGGAGAGGAGAGAGGAGTGGAATGAGAGATGAGAAACGGGAAGCTGTGACCTCACATTCTCAGCTGCAATAACGCTTTGAAGATCATCTCAAGGTTGCTAGATAAGAGGGGACCCATTCAGACCAAAGGGGAGGCGGGGAGGGGGCAGTGCAGCAAAGGTGGGGTGGTTGTTGGGGGGAGGGAGAGAGGTTGATAGCGAGTGGACAAGCAGAGAAATAAAAAGCAGGAGAGAAGCAGGTGAATAGGAGTGATGAAGACCATGAAGAAAGTGACTCAAGATGCCACTAGGTATTCATTAAGCATGTTTGCGTGTGCGTGTGCGGGTGCGTGTGTGTGTGTGCGTGTGCGCATGAGTGTGTGTGTGTGCAAATCCATGCAGCGTATGCATCACTTGTTGGGAGATATGTAAGACTGAGTGGGTTTATTTACCAAAGTGTGTCTGTGTGTTTATTTTAGCATTTCTCACTTTTCACAACAAATACTGACCTTGTAAGGATCCACTACACCTCATGGGGCCCAAACCCCGGGGCCCCATAAGGAGCAGTGCTGTTTTAGGGTTGGGGGTGACATTTAGGACTAAAGTGTGAATTGAGTTTAGGTTAGCTTCAGGGCTAAGGTCAGGGTTAGGGTACAGAAATTAATAAATAAAATGAATAAAGTCAATGTAAAGTCCTTGTAAAGATAGAAAGTGCGTGTCTTTGTGTGTGTATGTATATCTAAGTGCGCAGTTTGGCAGAAGTGATAAAATGCTGGGAGCCTGCCAGCCAATAAACAACCAGGCCGGCTGTGTTCCATTCCTTAATGAGTTACCCTTATCAGTTACCCCACGCTCCTCTCCTCCTTACATGCATCCTTTATTTATTCTCTATTATCTTCTTCACTCTTTCTCCTGCATATGTCCGATTATCCTTCGTCTTGCATCCTGCACTTCTTACTCTTTTGATATGTTCTGGTTCAGCCGCTGCTTTTTTCTTTTTTTTTTATCTTGCTGCTTTGCCCGTGCCTATTCACTTCCTTTAAATACTAAAAGAAATCACAAGTAAATGATTTTATCATATTACAAATTGTGAAATGTGACACAAGTAAATATACTTAATTTAGACATGAAATTTGATATGTAATCGTCTTGCGTTTAGACTGCTTTTGATCATATTCCATATTATAACAGTGTTTGGATATGTTTGACAGCTGCTTAACTGCCCTAAACAGGACAGCTCTGCAGGGACAGCCGAGACTGTAATTACTTTTGGATGTACTGCCATGATATTTTGCTCAGAAAATCATGTTCGCTTGAGAAAGGTTAATGAGTCTGGTGATCTTTTGTCTCAAGACCAAATTGTTGCAAAATTAACATCTGCTTCAGCTGTAATTTCCCTAAGTAATTGTAAGCCAGTTAACACACTGATTCCATTATTTAACTCAAAACATCACTGGGTGTAACTGCACACAGAGAACTGTTCTCAAGTCTTCTTTTTTATTATTTATTTTTCTCTCAACGTGGACCATGTTTAGTTTAAATTTGGATAAACCCAATTTATACATACTTGGTTTTATTAATGCATAATTTATATAGAGATTAGCGAGTTAAATATTTGGATCTATGTGAGTGTCGAAGACTATTTCCTGCACCACAACTACACACCTGGAATTTAAAACCAATCTGCAGCAAACAGAGCACAGAACAGGAGTTTCTGTCTGGTGATAAAACTGACTGTTGGTTGGGGTCAAACATACAGGGGGACGGGGAGTTTCCCATTTTATCCCTTCCCACTCTTTGTTAAACTGCTGTCATATTTTCTCATCATGCCTTGCTAACGTAATAAAAAACATAATATGGACAGATTTTGCAAACAGCAAGTCCTGTCACATTTTTTGATATATGTGTGCTGCTGTTTGGAATAGTATGTGTATACTGAGGTCAAAGGTGAGGACTTTAGGGTTTTATGAATGTACTACTTTAAACCCTTCCATAATTTTGAGTAGTGCTAATAACTCAAAGGCAAGACTGCATCTGCGAGTTGTTGCAGGAGGACAATGGTCTATTAAAAAAAAAAAAAAAAAAAAAAAATTTTTCCCCAAAGCAAAGGTTTATGTGCTTTGGGGGGAAAAAATGAATTATTTTCCCACAAAACAAACATCACCACAATTGTCAGGAACATTTTTGATGTAGATGATTGTGGCGAGCCAAACCAGAGTTGCAAACGACATTGTTTCAAAAGTGGTGAAATAGTGGTGGTGATTATCACACGGGGTTATTTTTGTCTTTTAATCTTCCAACTGAAAATATTTCTAAAAAAGCATATTTTTTGTTCATAACCTTCTCAGTTAAATCTGTCAAAAATACATTTGGAATAAGGAAATATTTGAAAGTGCATAAAATATTCACATCTAACACACTTTTCTTATAGACCCATAACACAAAAAGAGTCTATTTAGATGTTGAAATTTAAACTTTCAATATTAGAAACTTTTTTTCCCCTCTCTCTACTACAAGTCCGAGCAGATATATCACTTTCTATTAACATAAAATGTTCATTTATTGAGGGAGGAGTGAAATCCAAGACAACCTGCTTTTATGTCAAGAAAGGACCACCCGACTCACCCACCCACCAACAATACCATTTGGCTCATGGACCACAATTTAGCTCTGATTGATCAATCTCAGTAGCAAAGCTCAGGCTTGTTAACTTGATAACCAGCCTGACAACATGGAGTAAATAGAAATCTCAAAAAGTAACACATTATTAAAACGAATTAAACAACATATGGGGGGAAAAAAGGCAAAGCCCTTGACATCTATTAGTCTGGAAAGGCTTAAAAAGTCACTTGGAACAACAACAAACCACCGTGAGGTCTGTTATCTACAAATGGAGAAAACACATAAGAAACATCTAAACAGACAAACTAACAAAAGTGCTTCTGTTTCTAATTGACCTTTGACTTGCCTGCTGCGGAGGTAATAGTTGCCAAGATATACAAAGCAAGAGTGTGTTCAGTTCTGAACCATTCCTAACAGGCCTTGACATTAAGCAAAGGAACACCTGGTCATGGATTCAACTCATGCATTCTGACATGCTGCCTTCCACAAATCAAATTAAGTGGAGTTAATAGGATTAGAGGAGGGACACAATGTAGGAGACATCAATCTGGTCTGGAAGTCAGCCATGAGTTTAGTTTGTTGACATCTAACAAGGTCTGCTTGGCCAGCTGACAGTTGGTGATGGTTCATTATGATTTACATTTGTGTCTACTAATTGCCTCTGTAGTAGTGACTTCAGTCAGACGCAGTTCAATCCTATCCAATCTCAGGTAGAGCTTTACATTATTTTTGACTTTAATCATCATCACATTTTCAGTGTCTGCACAGTATTGCAAAGAAGTGCAATATGAGTCTATTTAAATATATGTGAAGAGCTGTGCTTTCAAGCTAGTTTGCTCCACATATTTGACCAGTCGCGTTCATTCTGACCATCTTTCTACAATGTTTACAGTAATAAAGAAAACAGTGAAGCACCTGTACTAATAGTGAACTGTGTTGAAGCAGCATGCTGATGCTGACCTGCAGGGACTTTATTTGGAAATAAATATCTGTCTAAGAAACACAAATAGGACAGACTGCTGTGCCCTAGATATCATTAATTAGCAAGTGTAAAGCCTATGGACAGCAGGTGTTACATTAATGCACAGTTAAGCTAATACATGAGCTATGCTTATATGCGTAGTATTGATTTTCTTAACTTTAAAGAAGTATCAGACTGTGATATTTCCTCAGTGGGGCGTCCTTAGAAATGTAAAGCTAAATGTAAACATTAGTGGGTATTTGATATAAATAGTTGTGTAATAAACATACCACAGTCAGTTCATAGCATCAAAAGATCAAAAATCTCACGGTGGGGAGAATCTTTTCACTGGTACAAATATGATGGCTATGTTTGAAATGGAATAAATATTTAAATATTTTTATGCAGAATGTGGGATTAAACTAAATAAATATTCTGCTTTTAGATTTGCTGATGACATCAATGAATTTATGTGACATCAATGAATTTATGTTTATGGAAAGAATAAATACGTTTTCAGACTTATTCTGAATTCTATTTTGTTGGACAGAATAGTTTTGTTTTTCTTTTAATTTTTGATTAAAGGATGTCCATTTTTGTGGACTTAGATGTGAATTTCATGTTGGCATAGGCCACAGTTATATAACCAAGCTCAATGTTCATCCACAAACAACACATGACCATAAGCTTCTTGTTACATTGCCCATATGTTATTGATCTGCTACTTGCATTATACTCTGAAGATTTTCTAAGTGCTATAAATAAAAGAACCATCAACGTTACATAAAGAAATGCCCACAGCAAATTAATTTTAAAGTAAGCAATATCTAATTTAAACAGTGCCATACATATTAAAACAGGGACAGTAAAAATGTAAAATGCACAAAAAATTGTAAAATACTGATATTTTTATTTTTCAAAAATGCAGCAGAAATGTTTTAGGCTCGTCACACGCCATCCGTCTGCTGAGACGGCAAACCCATAAGAAGAAACAGATATTCATCCAAACATCCTTTAAATATTGTTTTTGTATCGTTTTGAAAAAGTTTTTTGTTCGCCACAAAGTTTTCAGCAATTTTAAATTTTTCACATATTCGGTTAACAAGTGACTAAAAAAACTCTGAGGAAAACTGATGAGGAAGTTACTTAGGATGAGCAGAGATTATATAGGTCTCAATGTGACAAAGCTGCTTGTGGTCACACATGTTAAGGCTGGGAAGGAGAAGGGATGGAAGGACCAGACTAAAGTTGGATGAAGGAAAAGGGCTGGGAAACAAATGCAGAATAATACATAAATGCTGCAAATCTTTTGCTTGGGCACTTGGTTGAGTTACTGGATTTGAAGTCATTACGGGTCCTATGATCATTTTGGTTAACTGGAGCACAGCAAAAGCCTTTTATGTGGTCTCCATGGGAGCTCTTTATGTTAAATACTTTACTTATGCATGGAAATTGTTTGTAATGGATTTGAGAAATGCTTGATCTCTATTGCTAATGACTAAGACCAGTAACAACCATAAAGCCCTCCTACACTCACAGTGAAGTCAACAACAAAAACCTCAGTATTGTCAATATGTCCACAAGATGATGGTCAGAATTTCAGAGATAGGTTTTTTAATTCAACATTTTTAATTTAAAAAAATGATCCTGTTTGAGGATATTAAGGCTTAGGAAGCAGCATGTTTGGAGCCTTGTTTTCCTACAGTGTTACGTTGCTCTCATTATAATCCAGAGCTACTTTATCTTCACCTCATTAATCAAAGCTTGCTCCAAACCAAGGTCGCGGAAAGTAAACCCAACTTCAAGCTGTAAAAAATTGATTTTAGAGAAGTTTTTTTAATCAGGGCCAGGATTTTTTGTCAGCACCAGGTAGTTTAATCAGGGGAACAACTTGGAAAAACAGCGGCTCTTCGTGAAGTGTAAATATCAAGGGCACGGTGCCTTTCAGAAGCATTTGTAAATTTTTATGTTAAAACCAAAAACTTTAAAATACTTTACTATAACATTTCAACACAAAGTTGTTCAAAATTGCAAAATGGAAGACAATTTATGAATTAATTTTAATTTTTCTTTCAAAAAACAACTGCAGATCCACATTTACTCTGGCACCTTCAAGTAAAATCTAATGTGCAAACTTCACCTAAACCAAGAAATAGTGCAAAGACGGCATTGATCTGAGATGCAGCCAATGGCAATATGTAAGCTGATATGTAATATATAATTGCATCAAATCAGATCAATGCGTTAAAATGACCCAGTCAAAGTCCAGATGTAAATCCAATTGAGAATCTGTGGACTTAAAACCAGACGGTTACAAATGGTTCATCAAATTTGAGCTCTTTTTTAAAGAAATATGGATAAAACTAATTCTTTAAAACAACAGAAAGTTTCTATTTGTGCAAAGCTGACAATGACAAAAGATTTACAGCTGTAAATGCATCAAAAGTTGACAAATCTTCCACTTTCCAATGATGTACTACTCTGTAAAATAATTGTTAAAAAGTTTGTGGTTGTAACATGAAAAAAGTGAAGAAGTTTCATAGATTTAATTACTTTTTAAGAAATAATGCCTCGTTGAGTTTTTTAGACATTCCGTAAAATTCTGGGCCACTTTAATCATCACCATCTGTCTGTCTTTCAAAAACCTCATTATGAGTTGGGGTTCAGAAAAGAAAATCATGTCAGAACAATCAGGGTCAACGGGATAAAGGGTCAAAGGGTTAATGGTTTTTTTTCTTTTTTTTTTTTTTTTTGGCTGGTGCTTAATCATCAAACCAATATTGCATTATCTACACAGTACTAGCTCATTGATCAATGTTGAAAGAAAAAAATGGCAGGATGATGTGAAAATATTCTATAGTTCAGCTGCTGAACAAGTATCTATATGGTCACATAGGTAAAAAAAAAAAACATCTCTAAAATGATTCTGCATAGCAAATGTAGCTTTTATATCAACGTACTGTGTAAATACTACAGCAGGTGAGATGGAAAGACAACCAGCCTTGCTTTAGGACATCTATACAATAATATATTAATATCTGAAATGAAAGCAATAATGTGGTTAAATAAGTCATGTTTTAATGCAAGTAGCAGGTAAATGCTATAAATCATAATATATCTGTATCTTTCCATTCTATTTACAAGAGTTTGACACATCGCTGGTTAGAGTGACTCTTCAGGGAGTCTGGCAACGCTTCAGAGGCCCGTTCTTCTTCTGAATCTAACCTCTGTCTCTTGGCATACTTTCCATGTTGTTTTTTTATATCTCTATCCTCTTTCCTGGCTGTCAAATCTCACTCAACAAAATCTTTATCTCCCTTACAATCATTTTTTTTTCCTTCTATTGATATAGTTTTTTTAATCCCTCTCTTGTAAATCTTTTTTTACAACCATCCCTTGCTTTTTTCTTTTCTTTTCTTTCCATCTTAGCTTAGTTGGATCCTTGGCAGATAGGGCCTTTGATCTATTTTAATGGAAAAAAAAAATGCTACATTCACATTTTAACAGGTTGTTCAAGTTGACATCAGCAGTCTGTGTGTGGTACTTCTCCACTCGTTTCTACATCTGCATCTGATATCCTCGCTCCCAGGACAGTCACTCAGGTGTGGTAGTAGAGAGCCAGAACTGACCTGCGCATCCTTTATCTTCCTCCTCAGGTGTAGAAAAAGCTGATTTAAAATCCAGAGCAGGTCTTGACATATTGGGTTGCACAGAGTTGTGTCTCTGGGGAACCCAGTTTAACTGCAGTTACCCAACATGCAACACACAGACACGTGCACACACACGTCTGCTTTCTCATTCTGAAAGAAGTCTCTCTGTGGTTCAATCTGTAACAATCCTGCAGGGTAATTATTAGAGGTATTTCAGTCTGTTTTATGCATGTGTGTGAATATGCGTGTGTATGTGTGTGTGCGTGTGTTGGATTGTGAGCTGTAGATCTGTGTGTTTGTCAGTGTCTGGCTGCGGTTATACACGTGTGGTGGAGTGTGTGTGCGTGGAGATGTGTGTGTGGGGCAAGTGTGTATTACTATACGGGCTATGGTGTGTATATCCCTGGTGAGGGTGGCCCATCCTCATCCCAGCCACCGATCCTGGTGTCATTGGGGTCATTGGTGTTGCAGGAGTAACAGGGTGTGAGCCCGGGGTCACTGGCAGCGAGCCCGGGGTCAGGGAGGTCATGAGGGGAACGTCATCTGGAGAGCGGCGCAAGGTCAGGGTATAATCAGGTGGACAGGTGAGCCGCACAGTGTCCAGCGTGCTGTAAATGTCCTGGGTGTCCAAACCGTCCAGGGCATCAAGCGTGTCCAAAGTGTGATGGTGGTGGGCGTTGTTCCGCTCGTCCGCTGACGCTACATCACACTCGAGCTGCTTCACCTGAAACATGAATGGCAGGAAAGTAAGCACAATGAAGATAAAGAAAAAAATGAATGAATTTTAGAGATTTGTTTTTACAACATTTTCAGTAATAAATGCAGAGTCAGTCAGCGTACGGTGCCAACTGATGGAAATAATTTTAGGCTTCTGACGACAGAACAATGGTTCAACTTCAATGAACCTTAAAAATAAAAATCATTTGCTCAAGTTTGATATTAATGCTATTTTTTATTATTTATATTTATTAATCAGAAAATGAAGGGGCGCATTAGTAAAAATATAATGAGAGAACGCTGCTACGTATCATCTTGGCAAACCAGATTATGATTATTTAACCATTTCATTTTTTTATCCAAACACCAAAACACTAAAAGGGATCAAATTAAATATGTATCTTTTTCCAATTCAAAGTAGATTGCTGAAATGGTAAATATGATAATCAGATATTTATCTTGATTCGTATCTGCTAAGTCACCTTAATGATTTTGCTGGAAATGTATTAATTTTCAAATTCAAATAAATATTAGCCTAGCAAATCTTTATTTATAAGATAACTTATAAATTAACTGGCACTACAAAAGAATTGACAGGAATGAGTATTAGTCATAAATTTATGAAAAATAATTTTGTTTTTAGAGGCCCGTTTTAATGCTTGTTCTTCCTCTTACATAATTTTAAAGACATTTGAAGCTCACAATTAGCTGCCATTGAGATTTATTCATCTCTAAAAATATCAATAGTGAGGACATCACATTATTAGTTCATATTAGCTCCTATGTTATGGTGCGTTCACAAATTGAAAACAATAATTGGATTTTTGTATCTACTGAGCACTAAGCCAGCCAGTAAAGAGGAAAAAAACTATTCTTATTTCATTAGCAGTTTTGTAATTGGTCCATCCATTCGAGCGACATTAGATGTCCTTCGGTCACTTCATATAAGCTCTGCTATAAATCAAATGAACAAACACACACTGTATCTTAATATCACTGGTTTACAGACTATAAAACTTAAAAAGTTATTCCAGCAGATGCCTAAATTGCATCTGAAAGCTGCAAATTAGCATATCAGTCCTCAACTCAAACATGGATCACAATGCTGTGTGTAAAAAAGGGTTTTTATGTTTTTTTTTCTTACATAATATATAAAAAAAACACTTTTTAAATAACAGAACAGACTGTCTAAGCAGCTGTGATGCTGAGCAATACAGTTGAATTGCAAATTATTAGAAATTGTCTGGCATAAAAAGTATGTAAAATGCGTCACTCAACCAAAACACAGCAAATACAGTTGAAACATTCAGTGAATGAATTGGAGGCAATTTTCCGCAATTCAAGCCATTGTACATCCACACACGTGCACCCATCCGAACGCTCTCGCTCATTTTCATACTGATAATATCCTCTGATGACAGGCTGTGAGTCAGAAGAGAGATCTGCCTGCAGCTGTGCTTCCGGCAGGCCAAGAGTTTAGTAAATCTTTCCTCACAGCCTCAACCGACTTAATGTCAGCGCTTGACTAGTTCTGTATAACTTTTGTTGCTATTAAAGTGCTGTCAAACTCATTAATTAACACACAAAGAGTTGAGTTATTTATTTAGCACAAATAAATAACTTTATGCTGTCAGGGCAGATGTTTAGTACTTTTAGCGAAACACTGGGTCAAAAAATGTGACCCAGGTTGTTGGATTGGACAAAGGACTAGAATTATGTTACTTTTAGCTAACAGCTGTTTAATTTTTGCTTTTTCTTCAAGATATTATGTCCACTTTATTCTCATTGTCATTATTTTTTACATTGATCACAAAACCGAAGTTAAACTTTTTCTTTTAATAGAGTTTTAACAGAGTTTAATAAAGTTTTAATCGACTTTATGTGGTTGATTTTTTTACTGGTTGGATAATTTATAAATGTAATCCACTTATTTAAGCAGAATTTAACTAAACCCACACCTCAACATTAGTTATTTGTTGCTCTAACAATTTTTGTGGAAAACCTAACACAGGAATCTATATCAAACTCATAACACAGCCAGTTAAATTAGATCAGCTTTGAGAAGGCGCACATGGGCCTATTCTAGAAATGGACAGAAGATTACTCACCTGTAATGACATCAGCCCCTCCCCCTGCAGGTGGGCCGCAACATCTGCAGGAGTTATGTCTCTTCTAGGGGGAGGCAGCGGACGTGGTCTTCTATGCTCAAGACGTCTTTTGTCTTTCTTATAAAGCAGAGCCGCGAATGCAAGAATATTGAGAAACAGCAGCGATGCTCCGACTGCTATCGTAACTGAGAGTTCAGTCGAGTAGTCCTCATTTGGGATCCGAACTCCACTTTCCCCTCCGTCCTGGCCCAAAGCGGACTCCGGAGGCTGTGGCGTTCCCCCTTGCGAACTTGGATGACGTGTGCTTATAGGAGGCCAACCTTTGGATAGACGCTTGGTGTAGGAATAAGGCGTATCGTCTTGTGGAGAGGGACTGTGCGTGAAGGAGGAAACAGACTGCAAGAGTTCATTAACATGATGCAAGTGAGGAACGAGCTGGAGCCAGAAGGAGATCTTGGTGGCGCGGTAGTGGTCTCTGACACGCGGCTTGAGGCCGATGTGGAGGTACAGTTGCTCTTTGGGGGTGTATTTAGACCAAGCAACTTCTTCAAAGCGATTGGGCTTTGTGTGGATGAACTTGGTGTCTTGAGGAACTGGCTGGTTTGGATCCCTGAAAGAAGGAAAAATACTGACAGGTAAATCATTGTGAGAACATTCAAAGTGAGCTTTTTCAGTTTTAAGAATTAAAATGTCTCATTTTAAATTTGCTGAATTATTTCTTGAATTAAGGGCTAGTATGCTATCTGGTGTGTCAGAAGCTTCCAACCTTAACTTTCCTTAATTGTCTTCCCTTTGAAAATGACTTTGTCATAAATTTTGCCATAAAGTAATAATAACAACTTTAGGGCAGCATTGATTACTATAACTTAAGTAATATTTAATGATGATCATTCTGGCGTTGAGAAACTTTTTCTTTTATTTTCTCAAGTTTTTCCTAAATCAGCAGCAAGCTATGAGCCGATCAGCATTTTCCGATCTTATAATTCTTTCTAGTGAAATGTTCTCCAATATTGATTTTATTTTGTTAAAAAAAACATACTTCTGGAGAATATTAAAGGCATCCCATGTTCTTCTTTGTATGTACAACTGTTTACTCAGTGAAAAGGTAAAAGTTAATGCTTC